ATAGTAGTGTTAAAACTGAGGAGTTTTCTTTCCTTCCTTCCTTCGGTTTAATCGCTTATTATTTGAGTTTGATGTAAGACAGTCAAGATATTTTTGCTTAAGAATTAATTAAAATGTGAAAAATAAATACCTACTTTAAAATTCATTGAAATAAGTTTTTCAGAAAGTAACACGTTTAAAAATGTTTGTATTACTGTATTTAATATGGAATATAAACGTAATACTACATGTGTTAAGTTTTAAATTTTCAACTACAAAAGATTCAGCAGGTAATTTTAAACAAATTATTTGACATTGAAACTAAAATGAAAGACAACTGAAACCAATTAACAATATGAACAATCTTTTCGTCAATGCACCAAACTTATTTACAAGTAGCTAATGTAATGAGTTTTATGTAAATTTCTGAATTTTAAAATCCAATGTTTTTGACCTAAATCCATGTTAAATCAAATTGAACATAGCAAACTTAATTTTTTGCGACTAGACAGTCGAGTGACTGGAGAATGATGATTCAAGGTGATTCATTTGTTTATATATTAAAGTTGTTTTTAGTTAACCAAAAACATCCTAATGTATCAATTCTCTTAACGAGAGACGACCTAGTTACGCGTCAATTCGAAGAGTTGTTTTAATAATTAGCAAATTCAATAATAATAAAGTCATCGACGTGTTAAAGCGTCGTCTTCCGGACTAGAAAGAGGGATGGAGCTCTAAAAGGTGTATAGCTGCATCCCTCTTTCTCACCCAGAAGGCTTTAAGACGTCATGGTAGACCTACTGAAGTTAGTTTATTTACACATTTTGTGATTAAAATGTTGTGATGTGCCGGAGGTTCAAAACCTGGAAAGTACCTACCTACCATTGTAACTTTTTCCGAGTTATATGTACTTTCTATGATTATTTAAACCGGGAAACCTTGACTAGCCAATCCGCCTTGAACAAACGTGGTGATTAATACTCAAATCTTCTCCGTGTGAGAAGCCTTTGTTCAGCAGGGGACGCTTATAGACTGATGATGTGATGATGTTATAATATTTACCATTCTTGATTGGTATTTATATTGTTACTTTTACTTACGTTAATATCAGATAATTTTGATCTGATTGACTGTAATTGATGGTTTGAACAGGCTAATATTTGTAGCAAATTCTTTCTTCCTGACATAACAAATTATTTACTTATGAATAAAAATATTACATGTCCTACGTGATAGTTACATAATAAAGAAAACTATAAAATGTAACTAAAAACTGAAAAGTCATCATAAAATGCTATAAGTAAATACTATACAAAAACACTTTTATGAGTGACTACCGGCCGACCCCGCTTCGCACGGGTCCAACTATCTCGCTATCAAAGGGTCATTTTTTCCTGATCTTCCACTCTACTATTACACTCTACTATTCTAATATTTTCCTTCTCCTGACAATAACAAACACAACAAAAAAAGAATTAGCAAAATTGGTCCAGGCGTTGTTGAGTTATGCGCTTACCAACACATTTTACGATCCATTTTTATATATAAAGAAGAAGATATGTACTATAAAAGATTTCTTGATTACCGAGTTTGTAAACAAGTATAATCACTAGTTTTTCGAAATTTAAAAAGTCAATTGGATTTCCTCGAAACATTCCAAGAAAGAAAAAAAACGGAAAACAATTACAAATGTTCTGAGTCGTAAACAAAAGTCGAGCGGCCAGCAACCGCTTTTTCCCAAAATTATTTCTGAACCAACTTTCGTCATATCATCAGAACAAAGGAAATTGAACTATATGTGCTTGTTTTAAGAACTTATTTATGATGTAGAACGATCGTGCAAAGAGAATTGAATCTTATGCTGCTTGTTATAAGAGCTTATTCTAGTGTTTAGATCTAGCGATTTAAAGCTTTTTTCATAAACCAAATAGTTGAAGTCTAGTTTATGGTATCTTTGGATTTATGATTAATAGTGTGTTTCAGTGGAATAGAAAAGCCCCAGTTATCGGGATGAAAAAATCCTTTGTATTATTTTTCTCTCTTTAAAGAGGCGAACTGTAATTTCAATAGGAAATAGCAATAAAATTTCACGTCATCAGCCCACTGCATCTCACACAGAGAAGGTTTAAGCATTCATCACTAACTTATTAAGGTAAACCGGGTGTAAAAAGACATTTAACGAAGCCGAAAGCCACGTATTCTAAACATTATTTGGATAATTTTTTTTCTTAAAGACCATAGCTGGGACTCCACGGGTTCTCGAGATATTGAAGGTCAAAGATGCAATTTTAAATTTTTGCGCAATCGAATTCTAGGTATTATTATGAAACTTTTTTCCAAACAAACATTACCTGAATGTTCGATTTTTCTAAATGAATTACGCATTTGAAGTTACGAACAGTAATGTACGTAATAAATAAATGCAGACCCGCACAAAAAACATCGTGCATCTCAGTAGGATTTTTATTTTACAGAATTGTTTTGTTTTTGCGAAGTAAAACGTCGACCTACGTACTTATCACAGCGTTTTAATGCTAAGCTGTGAACCTACGCACACAATGACACGAAGCCCGTTTGCTTTACATTGCGTGCAATAAAATTATTATTTTTTATACCTGAAAATAAAAGTCGTTTCCCAGTGTTTCCCAGTGATAATTTTAGCGTAAAGCTACTTAGTTAGAACTGCAGTATGCGTAGTTAACGGCTTCGTTAAGTGTCTTTTTACACCCTGTATAAGCATCAATTACAAATTATAACGCCTGTCTTCCACATGATATTTTTCTGCACCGTATGTCAGTGGTGTCTAAATAATCATAGAAAATAGATATAACTTGAAAAAGTCACATTGGTACATGAAAGATTCCGAATCCGCACCCTCATCAAATCTTATATCTGTAAAAACAGATGTTCACAAACACTATTTTTTACGTTTAAAAGTGCGTGTAAGGGTCTAATTAAAATAATTAATTTTGACCCTGACTTTAAAATATTATAATATAATGGCCTCTTTTATATCCGACCTCATAATAATATTCTCACATTATACAAAGAGATCAATTCAATAAAAACTATAAATCAATCTTCGTTATCTATAATTGCAAATACTTCTTTAATGTTTCAGACATCAAATAATAAAAACAAGTTTCATAAAAGTAGCAAGCGATGTCTGGTTTTAGCATTAGTATGTATCAATGTTGATAGCGGAGTATTAGTGAATCACCCTTTATGTAATCCTACTTCTGGACAAAGGCCTGTTCTCAGCGAGAGAGAGGGATCAACCACAGCGTTGTGTTTTGCCATGTGAGTGAGTTTACCGGAGGCCGAGGCCCAATCTTTGTTCGCCTCCCCAATTCGTAAATAGCCGAAATCCTAATTCCCAACAGGTCAAGAACGCACTCGTAACTCCTCTGGTGTTGTGTGTGTCCATGGGCGGCACCGATTGCTTACCATCAGGTAATCCATCTGCTCGTTTGCCGTTCTATAACATAAAAAGAAGAATGATACACTCATTTACTCAAGGCGAATTTGTGATTTTAGTCTTTAAAAGTCCTTTCTTTGGCGGGAAATGGCGGGAAGATTCCCGCCATTGTTGTCTAAACTAAGACTGACCTCTAAATTTGTTTCGGCATTTCTTCTCAGAGTAGTCAGATAGGAAATGCCGGCTTCATCTAGTTTTTCACATATAAATTGACGTGTAAAAGTGCCGTTTTATGGCCTATTTGCAAAAATAAATTCATTGTTTAAACAAACTTAGTACATAATATAAGTAAAAAAATAACATTTCTTATAAAATGCTTGCTAGATTCTGAACCCCTAGTCTCTTAGAATACAAGTAGGCGAAATGTCTTGTAAAGTAGAGCGTTCGAGTTTGCTGCCTCGTTATAACATACATCTGGCATTCTTTATATATAGATTTTTATGAGTGTGAGTGTCTTAGCTGGAGTAGTTTTATTACGACTTTAATGTTCTCAGTGTAAGCACGGATTCTGGTACTGTTCATTGTAGATGGCTATAGGTCAGGTTGTACCTAAGTCCTATCCCTTAACTGGCATCCTTAGATCGGAGATAATTGTGGGAGAGCCATGCTTCGGCACGGATGGGTAGGCTCGACCGGAGTGATACCACGGCCTCACAGAAAACCGGCGTGAAACAACCACAGCTTTGTGTTTCGCTGTATGAGTGAGGTTACCGCAGGCCTAATCCTTCCCCGCCCCAAATCCCTAATCCCTAAAAGGTCGGCAACGCACTCGTGACTCCTCCGTTGCGGGTGTCCATGGGCGGCGCTGATTGCTTACCATCAGGTAATCAGACTGCTCGTTTGCCGACCTATAACATAAAAAAAAGGTTCGCAAAATAATATGTTATACCGTGGGTGACGGGTGTGGATGACGAGCAAGGGTACCGCCCGGCTAGAACCAGACCTGAAGTTAAGCGGTTTTCGAAGCTCGTTGTGTTTTGCATACCCTCAGACCAGTTCGATGTCCAGCGATTGTTGCAAGTGCAAGCGGCACAGAGTATGAGAAGAAACAGGGTGGTCTTTAGTCAGTAAGAGTGACCCAAAGCTAGGATGACTTTGGATAGTTTTAAGCCTCTCAAAAGCAAAACCATTGTTTAAGTTTTCTTCCATCTACACCTTCCAGCATTAGAAGTAATTTTTCTTATAGTTAAAGATATAGGATTTTTGAGTAGATTGAGCCAAGGTATATTTTTATGGTTATTAATTGTGTCATCCGGGAACAAGACCTATGCTTTTAATATGTCCTGTTTGTTTTATTAGAAAAGGAAGCTGCCGTTATGCATTGGGTTCGATTCCCGTCCGAAAGGAAAATTATCCGATCCACTTATCCACGTTTATTAAACTTTTAGCATATTTATTTTCATTGGGACCTATTATATTGTTTATCATTGATATTATTAATAATTCGGATTATAGCTACTTACGTAGTAAAAATAAGGATATTGAAAATGTATTACAAAATAAGAATTTCGAAATTGAGAAAGCTAATAATACATATTTATATAATGCACTGAATTTTAAATTAACAACATTATAATGTTTATATTAAAAACAAGGAAATTAATCAATTCATAATCAGTAAAGGAAATACTATATAAAAACAACGTAATTTCACTATTAACAGAATACTAACAAACTGTCGTAGCAATGACGTAGCGCACGTAGCCGCGCTACGCATAATATTACCTATTTCAGCGCACGCGCCGGTCATCCACCATTCAGTCATTCACAGACCATTGGTACAGACGTCTCATCCCCGCGTTTGGAATAAAATTAATTTCCTTGTACAAAATCATAATAAAAACAAAAGTACAGTCGCCATCATAAACATATAATCGTTTTCAGAAACACGTGTAAAAGAGACAATCGAATAAAAAAGTGACAGTGCAGTGCAACGAATAAAGCTTTGAAACGTCAAAATGATGACGATAAGCGAAAGTCAGTTTTCTTCAAATAAAATGTCGAGTATCCACAAGATCAACGACAGGATCGTCCACAAGGATAGCTTCAATGACACCAATAGTTCTTCGAGCGTTAACAGCACTCTCATCACGAAGAGAGGATTCAAGCCCTCCGACATGTACGACCCTCAGAAGAAGGAGTTCCTCACAAACCTCAGTTATAAGTTGTTCCCTGTAAGTTGGGTAAGTGTATCATGTCCAAATTGTGGTTGGCGCTTCTAACACACGCGTAGTGGGGTGGACACGAATATTGAGTAATTGATATATTATTATTATTATTTTATTTATTCGTATTTATTATATTTATGTTAGTGTCGTTAATATTTGATCACTTATGTAATTTTACCTATGATGTCTGTCTGTCAGTCTAATCGACCCCACAGCCAAACCTTTGCAACGGTTTCGTGGGACTTAGATTTTTAATAAAATACTTAACTTTGTGGAATGAAGACAATTAAATTAAAAGAATGGTAAAATATTTAAGTAATTCGTTCAATAAAATGAGTCAAATATTATCGATACTAACTGTACCTACTTCTGAAATGAAACAAAATTGTGTGATTTATCGATTTATGAAACAATAATTTCTGACATACCTATAGGCATTCTTTATTTTCTTATTTAGCTCATTAGCTGTTTTCGTACAGAAACCGGATAGACAGCGATGATAAACTGAGTCAATATACATCATGTGTAATTGAAGAGATGATTTTTACATGTTTGCATTTGAAAGTAGCGATGATAAATATAGTGATTCATGATTGACTCAAATACTTCTTAGAATAACTAAGACATAACCTAGATACATCTAGGTACAGCGTAAAACCCCTCTCTGTTTCATGCTTGAAGCTAAAAGTTAGCTGGAAAATTTATTAGCGAATCTTCTTTTATATTTTATGTTGCTTACTGGCTAGCTAGAAAACTTTTGTAGATTTTTCTATTACCTAATAAGCTTTTGTTTCACTGTCTTCATACTTAGGTATATGCAGGACACTAGTTAAAAGTGATGTATCTCGTGATTACAGCGTTTAAAGCGATAGCTCGACTAAAAACGCAGCAAATTGAGTATAACTTAGGAATATTGTAGCTATCTATCAGTGAAAGAATTATGGAAATCAGACTTGCGGTTCTATAGATTTCGCCCTACGTAAAAACTTACAACTTACAAATTTAACCTCTTGAGAATATAATATTGTGTATGATAAAAAAAATATGTGGCACATACACCACTTACTTTATACAAACCAAGTTCTATATTCAAAATTCTGTATAACATGACGAATATTTGGATATTGTGAAACAGGTTCTTGATTACACTATTTAATTATTGGTTTATCAAGACTGTGTTTTGGGAAATCTTGTTATTTATCTGATTTCTTTTGGAAAATTAACTCCGTGTGTATTAGATGTGGTAGTTTATTTAGTTTTTAATAAGAAGTAAAAAAACACCTTTATTACAATATGGCTTACTTAGAGACATTTAATGTTTATTTCAACTTTTCCTTAAACAATAGGAAATAAACGAATTAACCATGAAAAAACTCTGTCTATAGCGTAAGAGAGTGTAAGTGAACTAATGGATTAAAAAGCATTAATTACACAATTTTGTTTCTACTCATTTGAGTATTTGAATACTTCTACTATTTATTTATATTATGTTTTATTTATTTATGTATTACTTTATTTTATTTTATTAAGTAGTTAGATGTAATGACGTAACATATACCTACACTAACTTTTAATTTAAACATAAAATTATTTTCAGAGACAAAAATAATTTATAAAGTATCTAGATTAAAATATTTAAACTGTGTACATCAAATAGTTTTTAAAAAATAGATTTAATATCGATGGTATGATTAATTTAAATTAAAATATAAGTACAAATCATAGATTTCTATGCATGTAACTATACTTGGGCCAAAGCCAAAAAATATGAGAGCAGTCTATTGTTGTTGCAAGCACTAAATACTTCAGTAAAGATTAAAAATATTTCAAAAAGAGTTCAGTTTGCCAAAACCATGGGTCGATGACCTTTGACAGGGTTAGTGAAGATTCTAAGGAGGTTCAATTACCTACGTGAGTGAACTTTGTATTCTTCATGTCGGTTTAATTAAGGAACTCAACAGAAAAAAACTTAATTTACTAAAAAAATAAAAAAAACATAATTTGCACTTGAATTGAATTATTTCTATTATTTTTAAAGGGTTAAACAAGAAACAAGGCTATTTTAAATTAACTACGCAAACTACTTAATATAAAAATACGGAAAGAAATTCAGATACGAAAATACAATGAACACCAAATCAAAATAAATAAAAAAACATCAAAAAAGCAGATAAATAAGTGCTCGAGTAATTCTTTGTTTTGGTTGCAGATTGCGTTAAGTACATTATAATTAATTAAACACACAATTTTTTTCCTCAACTTCCTTATTGAAGGCTATCATTCTTTTTGAAGTTCTATTCTATTTACGAGTGACATACCTATATTCAATATCATAATTGGACCAGTAATTTAGAAAGTAAAACATAACGGAAAAAATAATTCGCATAATATTTAGAAGTTTATTTATACAAACATTATGATATCTATAGGTAAATATTTATGAGCCGAATAAACAGTCTCAATACCCGAACCCGGAACATTTTAGTAGTCATTCAAATCTTAACAAAAAGAAAACTGTTCTAAAGTTTCGAAACTGCTGCAAATATAAACGCGCCCGTGTAGACGGACAGACAAACCGATTAACCTATATTGTAGTGTAGCTTTTTTGTTGCTATATATAAATGGGCGGAGGAATCACGGCTGGCAACGGATTAGCTTCAGTTTTTAATTATTTTATGTACGTTCGTAATAGAAAGATGTATGTATTGAGTCCCATTTTTCTACAATTCTTGAAAATACAACAGGTACCGGAGTTTCGTGCTGAAACATGGAACTCCGAAACTTTTTACAAATAATACAATAAATGATAGGATATGTGTCCCACGTTATACAGAAACTGAGAACATCTCTTTAGAAAAGCACGGCATATTATTAGTAAAAGATATGATATTATTAAGTTACGATGAACTAATAGGAAAACAAACAAATAATAATAATATGGTATTCCCCTTAAACATTTAAATTTTTTATAAATTTTCATAAATTTTAATAAAATTTTTATAATTTTTGGGACGAAATTCCTCAAATATATCATTAATGTAGTCTTAGTTCTAATTAAGTAATCCACAAAATATACCTAAATGATGTCGAAGTATTACAACGAATTTTTCCTAATCAATCGTTCATAATATTGCTAATTATTATCTAGTACGTATCTTAATTAGTGTAAAAACATGCTTTTTCAATCAATACTACGTTGAATTTCACTTTACAAAGACAGAAACAAATACCTAATTAGGTCAATTCACGGAAATAATCCGTTTCAACTTATCTAAATATTACACTAATTGTATTTTAAGAATTCTAATTTTAAAATTGGAATATTAGACATAAAATATTAATTAATACTTTGTGGTTTGTGTTTGGTCTTTTTATCGGACATAATCTTATTAACCTATCAGAAAAATCTAAGTCATTTTACTATTTCTTAGGTTATCGTCCGTTAATCCTAGGACAACAATGATTACAAATAGTCTAGTAGTTTAAAATGTCGGCACTTGTTTATGTAACCCAATTAAATGTAGATAAATATGTACCTATACTAGGTATTAGTGATCCGATGCTTTTTTTTCCAACTACCTCGATGATAGTCATTTGTTTTGTTAGCAAACCGCCTAAGCATTGAAATGGATGCTGTTCCGATGTTCACCTGCAGTTTCAAGAATTTTATTTTATAAGAAGAGTTCCATAACCTTAGCAAAAACAGCGTTAAAATAATAATAAGAATCAGTTAAGATATTCACGCATCATACTATGAAAAGGGGAAGTAGGGATTACCTTTTATATTATACTAGCTACCTGCCCCGGCTACACACAGGTGTAATTGCAACGCTGGTACTAAAATGCTCCATTATTTAAAAGAAGTTACTATAGATACATACATATAAACCGCATCAAAATCCGTTGCATAGTTTTGAAGATTTAAGCATACATAACGATATAGGGACAGAGAAAGCGATTTTATTTTATACTCTGTAGTAATTAAGATCTACTTTATACTTTATTGTGGTAGAATCGATCTGAAGATTAAATTCGCAATCATTAAAGTTTCCTTACATAGAAAAAAGCTAGTAAGTCAGTCTCAAAATTTATTCTGAAATGCACTTTCCAAACTGATCCAACCATTTTGAATGCAGTAAGAGTATCCTCCATAATATGGCTGCCAAAATATTATCGCAAAACAAACAGTTGAAGGTTTGGAAACACGCAGACGCGTGGTGCGCGTGCGTCCACCTTCAGTGCGGCCAAACTTGTCTAAATTAAAACTAGACCACTTGACCTGGTCTCACTCGAACAATGACCTTATAGGCATCATTTTAGACTTCGCTGTATATTCTGCTGTATAGAAAATACTTATAATTATATAGAAAATAGTAATAAATTGTATAGAAAATACTTATTTAAACATTTTTAAAATATATATTTTTTTAATATTACTATAATATACATAAATAAAAAAATATAAAAATAGGATCCAGCCGGCAGCTTCAGAGATAGAAATCTCACAATACCTACGTGCCGTTTCAAGGAAGGCTGCCTTCTGTATGAAGCCTATGATCCATCGGCCTCACACCAGCCTCTTAAGGTGGTTTACATGGATTTTGAGGGCAAATCCATTGACCATAACTATCGGCACAATTATAGCTGACTCCACAGTTTACGTCGACAACCTCGTGAGCCAAGTCGAGATATTTTAACTATCTTTCTTTGAGTACTGAAACTCTTAATTCTCCTAAATACTAAAACTCACCTTGTATCCAAAATATTTTCAAGAATATAAAACAAAACATCACGCTACGATCAAATGGAGCTGAGCAGCGGGTGAAACCACGCGAGAGTAGCTAGTTTATTATAAAGAAGGTCTTGTAATATCTCCCAGTCTAACACTACAAATATCTGAAATTCTAAACCAGCCATTCTTTGGCCGCGGTAGCTAAGACTGCAGCGGATATTTTTAGCTCCAATAATTGAAATCAAAAGTGAAAAACACTATAAAAAGCTTCACAGACGAATGA